AAGTTTCGCTTGGGCGGTGAAAACGGAAGTCACGGCGTGAGATTTTTTTGAGGGCAACGGTTGGTATTTAAAGCGATAGAATAACGGTCAGAAAATGGCAGAGTGCGAAACTTGCTCGGAGTCGGTACACGGCAAATCCGGAACATTATCAAATATCCCGGACTTGGGGGGCATATATATTAATAACAGGATTATATATCGTTAATATCTACAGCCGATCGAATAGATTTAGTTCCTTACTATCTATTTATAATCGCCGATCGATTCATATATGACATCGGCTCAAAGATAAATGATATGTCATCGGCACCTAGCCGATCGGCTATCATTTATAGATTTAACCACGAATTCTTTGTCTCTATTTTTTGTTGATTACAGGATCAAATCAACTGGCACGCTCATACATTCGAAGGCAAGCTTTGGACCTGCACTGGAGTTAAGCAGATCTCCCAGGCCTCGTGTTTTCTATCAACAGTAGCCAAACATTACCAATTCATGGACAAGGTAATTCTTCACTATCTTTGTAATATAAAGTTATCTTTATCTTCATCTACTCCATTGACACCAGCCGCTTTCAGCATGTCAGAAAGAAACGGGTTTTCATAATACACTTTCTTATCGTTATTTGCTTGCTCCCTCATACAGTGTATGTATGCACTGATGACTTATTGGTTCAATTAAAAATCTGTAATTACTAAAGAATATCTTGGCAATTAAATTCTAATGTTGCTTCATCATAGGTAGTAGTACTTACATCGTCGTTCACAAATTCATCTTCAGAGAGAAGGCACGTTAGGTGATTTTTCTGGACATAAAAATCTCCCATGTCCACCAGTGTACAGTTTTCAGTCGAATATTCAACTGAAAATTGAGCCAGTACATCCTCGTTCGTTAATTCATAATCTATAAAACAAAAAAGGAATTCTGATATCACAAAGTTTTAGATATATTATACAAAACACAAGTATGTGAAACAATAATGTACCATGAGGAAGATACTAGTTGGTCTGGCCAAACATATATCGTATCAATTTTGATGGTACATCAATATTTGGCATGCTGTCTTTGGATCCTCCATGCTCCTCGGATTCCTTATCATGTAATAAAGATGTGATATCATAATAAATATTATATTAAAATATTATTAAATAAAATTTTGACTAAAAGCTGAGTTAATAAGTTCATACAGAACACACGTAGTTTAATGGGACACTTGAAACGTCTAGCGCAGATCATTGAATACATGTGCTGACGCCGAATCAGGATTAAAAATGATGTTAGACTCATATGTAGTTGATAGTTCGTCTACAAAGGGAAAAGGTCAGTTAGTTAGAATTATGTGAATTATCGCGATGGCAAATACGTGAGAGGAATAGAGGAGGGGGCTTCCTTACTTGCTCTTTTGTCCACCCTCATTAGTGTAGTCACCACACAATCAAAATGTGTCCATGCTGAGCGCCACCTAGTCAAGTTGCGGGTATGTTGTTGGTCCCATACACGAATGAAAATTATCTGCAACCTGAATTTGGCAAATTATCAACAAACATTATATGCAATATGAGTGTTGTGCGATCTCAATTAATTAATATATGTAAAGAAATGCAGCAACTACCAACGATTAACCAACGCGATTATCCTTGTCGGCGTCCGACACAAATACAAACTTCGAAACTCAATGTCCCCGACGTGCACAACGAATCCAATGACATCTGCACAACCCATAGACACATTAGTTTTTCATTTGTTGGCAACCAAACAAAGAATATTCTTTTTTAAGTACCGAATCAAAGAATATACCTACTAAAGAATTGTGCATTGCCAAAAAAAAATATCATCATATTCTGGAAAATGCCATAGACAACGTAGCATATGGATAGGACCATGAGGCGTATGGGGAGTTGTTGCACTGTTGAGAATCATGCAGAACTGAGATCTTATCGTAAATCTTAGATGCGTAATCATTTTCGTCGAATCAAACCCGACGTTATAAAAATCATAAAAAGATCTGCATCTTAAAAGCTAGTTCAAATGCTCAGCTTGACGACGGAAAACAATTGTCTCCATCTTGGTGCCCTACACATGTTATGAGATGTAAGACTATAAGATACTAAAAAAATATTGTCGTTAAAATCAATCAATCAACTAATCTAAAGATTGTAGCTTTGGCGTGAGCTGATTGGCTGAGGTGATAAGCAATAGAGTGTTGACATGGACTGAGAGGCTAGCTAAATACGTTGATAGTCACAATGGAAATAAACTACATAGTAGGTCGAAAATTCTGAAAAAGAAGAGTGAAAAAACCATTTGACTTACCAATTCATCAATTAGTATAAGCCGGATTTGTAGATCGCCGTAAAAATTCTCATGCAGATGCCCTTTCCAGACGACCAATCTACCATTTCCAGTGTAAGTGATCCATTTGTACCACATGGAACCGAACAATTCTGCATGGGGAAGACAATATACACAACATGATAGTGTTGCATAATCCATCAACAAAAGAAACAATAGAATGAAGGAAGAGTGACCTCCATGGTTGCACGGCTACGCCATTCTCCATATTATGTGCTAATTAGTAGTTTGGAAGAGACATCTGGAAGAACGGATGGACGGAGTTTGGAACGAACGTGGAAATGATGGCTAGGGCTGGCAGCAAGAGCTTCGGTCGCTGGCACGACTTATCTGATAGTTTTAAATAATCACGATTAACATGATCGAGCCATGCTGTCAAAAGCGAAAAAAAGAACAAAAAAACACCGCATTGTTTGTTGGCTAGCTGGTTCCTTAGTTGGACCGTAACAGTCAGAGATGTTATATGGGTCGATTAGGCCCATAAGGCCCATAGCTTGTTTCCTTTCTCAATTAATTCGACGAGTGCACAGAAGCAAGCAAAATATCATAGCACATCGCTCTTTCTTAAACTACCAAAAGCAAGGAACGATCACAATGATCCCTAAAGACGATAGAAAATCCTCGTCAACATATAATCAGCAAATACAATTAATGATAAAACAAGAGCATTGTCAACATATAATCAACAAATAAAATTGTTGACATAATATTTTGTATCCTTTAACAGAAGAAACAAGAGGATTTCTCAACAGAAGATAAATGATGGAACAAGAACAATTCTCAGCATATGATCAAATAAATTGAAGGAACAGGAAGACCCGCTCAATAACCCTGCTCTTTTTTTACCATACAAAGCATGCATCCATTCAGACTGACAAATGACTGACAATAATAGTTTCACTCACAAGCAACTAATGACTGACAAAGACACCGCTTAACTTGATCTTACATAATACTTAATAGCATTTCCATTATCACTGAACAATAGTTATATGGAACTTAAGGCACCCAAACCATTGGTCGAAATCTTCAATTAAAAATGCACTTTGTTGACTAAATGGGCAGAATTCACCAAACTGATTTTAGCTGATCTTGGGAAGTTGGCGCAACGCCATAGGCCTGCCATCTGCTACCAGGGGTAAATGAGATGATCCACCATCTGAACTCTCTCATTCAACGTAGTGGCATGCGCGGAATGCAGCAAACATTGTCATTGTAGGCCGATGGGACTGCACAAAATAGGCAAAGGCGCACTACATCAGCACGAAAAAGTCAAGGGAAGATAGCATTATTCAGCTCAGTTGCTAGTTGCAGAAAGTATAGTCAAAAAATCAGAACAAAAAATCATGACATTGGGGCACTAATCATGCAATAAGAATCAAGGTGGTCAAAACTCCCCGCAAATGATTTGTCACAATAATTTGTCTTCATAGAAAATAAGTAATTGATAGAATGAGGTATCAAGGAAGAAGTTCACTCTCCTGCTCTGTCTTCAATACCCAAAAAGAAAGCAGGAAGTACATCAAAGCCACCATGAAACTATGCTGCTATTTGTACCCGCATTCAAATTAAGGCATCGAACAAGAACAAGGGACTTTCCTAGATTAGTTTCAAGCAACAAGGAACCATCTCCTGGCAGTCCTGATTTCTGAAGGTAGAGTTGTTTAGTTGCTTTTATTTGAATAATTAGCCCCGGTAGTCATAGCAGTGATTTTGCTTTGAAACTTAGGCCCTTTTCCGAACCTCATTTTCATATGTTAAAGATATTGACAGCATTCATGCCTCTTTCTCTCACAAAGAGAAGATTTAAAATTCATACTGAGCTAATAATGTCCAAGAGTAGACAGTCTTGATACTCGAGGCCTTGTCATGTCCCTTGTATAGGTATTTAAAGAGGTACTTTACTGCCTTGATACTCGAGCAAACCTCCACGTTCATGTGACAGTTGTACATCCGTAGAAGATAAGGATTGTACGGGACAACACACCTGTTATCAAGAGGATGTCCTCTAACCACCTTACTCTTACCGTCATTACGTCACCTATTCAACGGGTATGAATCCTTGCCTTGCGAAGTTGTGGGGTTGAACTCTCGTGGGTAGTTGTTCCTGCACTTTCCATCTCGCATACATTGGCACCTACCGTTGAGTCGACCACAAGGGCCATGCTTCATATGCTTGACAACCATATTGTATAGCTCTGGATATTTTTTTTCTTGTCCGGAAGCTCAGCTGAGACGATGCGGTCATATTGCTCCGCAGACATTAGCTTGTATCGACCACTCATGATTAGCAATAAGTGTGCGTGCGATAGACCCCTCTTCTAGAACTCAACAACATAAACGTGTGCAATGACTTTGCCAAGGATGTGCTTCTCAAACAAGTGCTTCTTTAGATCCTGTAACTTGGCTCGAAAGACACGGACCACGAGATCAGGATGATCTTGTGGTGTATGGCCAAGCTCAAGCTCGTGAGTAATCTCATCCCACTTGGGGTTGCTGGTCATTGTAAGGAATACATCTGGCTTCCCGTACTTCTGTACTAAGGACATGGCATTCATGTATTGGCGCTTCATATTTCGGCCACCACCGATGAACGACGTTGGCAACACAGTTCGTTTGCCGACCGCACTTGCTCGACTCTCCCCAGCCTAGATGCTATCCATCAACCCTTGATACAGGTCAGCCCTTATCTCCTTCTGGTTGTTCCTCACATAGTCTAGACGGGAGCTCTCAACCTTGATGTACATGTCAACAGCAAACTGCTGGAACAAGCGTCCACCGTGAAGTATAGAGTTGAAAATCCCGCAACGCATCTTATAGCAGTAGTAGTCCCTTACAGAGACTCGTATCCTGCTGTTACAATCTACACGTGACAAACATCTGGGTCAGTATAGTCATGTAACGCACAATGATCAATTCTCTAAGGCAACATAGTACGAAGATAAACTTACTAGGATCATCGCCATTCCGCGCATTCGCATCCTCCATGGTTATTTTGTCCTTTGGAAGACCTTGATGCCAACCACTCTCTCCTCTAGGGAAGAACAGAGGGTACGAGAGGGGATCATAACATCCGTAGAAAGGTTGGATAGATTTCCGTGTACGGTCATTCCCGTATATTGTCACGCTAGGCTCGAACTTCCTTCTCTCGTTTCCCTCAACCCAGACAGGAGTGACGTCAGTTGCCACCGGCACATTGTAACACCTTTGGTTCAACCTATGATCCAATTTAGTGTCGCGCGATAATTCGCGAGGTCGTCAGCATGCCCCAGACTTCTAAATGTCTCTGAGCATGGGTTGTTCCGAAGGACGTCTTCAACAGTCCTAATCACATCCTGGTCAAGGCTAGGGGAACATTGGAATCTGTGACCCAAGGTTAGATCATCATCGTAGAAATATAGCTCGAGATGCTCTGGACCAAAATCTCTAGGACTGAAAGAATGTATATTATTATATATCTAACCATGGGCCTGAAAAATGTACACGCCCGAACTCATGTTTGCAAAGGCCTTGTCAAGGCTTACACCAAGGGTAGTGAACGAGAAGTGGCCGTTGAAGTATCTAATGTTATCCCGGAAATGCTTGGCATCTGGATCTGAGCTTGTCCAAAGCCTCATCAGTTCAAGAGGTGTTTCATTTTGTACAAGCTTGATCTTGCCATCCCGAAAACAGAAGCTCGGCGGTTCGTATTGGAACCTCTTGGCACCACAATGTTTACAGTCTGGCTCAGGCTTCAGAACATTTGTGCTTTGTGGAATGTTGCTATACACATAGTCGAACGGATCAAGAACAGAAGAGTTAGGTGATTGCGTATCGTCATCGGATTGTACCATCTCGTCATCCTCACCGTCGCCTGGTATAGTTTAGCGCAAAGGATTTATAGTCCGCAAAAAATATACATGTGAAAAAGAGACATTAAGATATCACAACGATGATACCTAGCCCAGCAAACATGTAGTATTCATCGTCGCTGTCATCATCCATGAAGGAATCCATATCATCTTTAGTACAATGAGAAGTTAATATATGGAAGGGTACAAATTGTGAGTATGAATGAAAACATATATAGATGATACCATCACTGAATGTGCATGATCGCGCATGATGATCTGCAGCAGGCTCAGTTTGTAGGCTCGATGTAGATGGCACATCACCGATTGTTTCCAAGCAAGGCGTTAGACTTAGCAACGACGAGCTACAACCCTTAGGGCACTCCAATGCAATGGATTCAGCGCATGGTTTGTCACGCCTAGTTGCATATCGTGCATTACGTCGTGTCAAATGAGTACTCCTTTCTCCAGGAGTAACATTTTGTCGTCTTGATCTACAGTGAGCATTCATATCATGGATTTTAACATCTAGCAGATTTTGCCTTGCCACCCTACGACGGGCGTTCATCTCCCGTCTTTGTTCCACTGTTAAGGATTGACGTTGTGATCTTTGCCGATCCCGTTTAGCTTGTTTCTGTAGGTGTTTGAGTTGCATACTTGGCCCTATCCCCAGCACGCCTTGACTCCAACTTTTCTTGTGAAAAATTGTGTGATGCACGAACTCGAGTATTCTTGATTGTCATGCTAGCATTTTGAGTATCCTCATGCGCACATTTATCCACTACAATCAATCAATGTTAACATTACAGTCCTATTGGATAAATTGTTGACTAAATGCATGAGGTTCAGTACATTCTTCAAAAAAGTTGTCCCACATAAGTACCATTTCAATGGGTGACCATGTGATTGCTTCAACGATTAGAAATATTTTTAAAGGTATTTGAGACAATTCAACTCACCCGGGTAATTACACACTTGTTAAGATCTCCAAAATCATAATTTAATTTTCCAGTGATTTTTGTATGCATTTGCCACATGAATAGTAGTACGGGAAGTACTATTTTGATGTGTCAATGAGAAGTATGGGATTGGAGAATTAAACATATCTACTTAATGTATATGTATTTGCGTTGCTATACAATACATCAAATTTGTTTATCTTAAAAATAAATTGAAACATTAGTTCTGATCTGCATATCCTACATTTGTAATCAAGCATATTGGCCAGCGGCCGATTGATAATATTTACCATTATTATGAACACAAAATTTCATCCATTTAAAACTACAAAATTACTTGTATTTATGTCACGCCCAGAAATTTAACCCAAATTTCCAGACTATTTTGCGTATTAAATCCCTGTCCAGGACTAGCCAGGGTACACAAAACGACAAGTAATATACAGTTCCAAACGTAAATAAAGCGTAAAATACTTACAGAAGAGGCACTTAGTCCTCACACCGAAACAGAACGACAGCAGCAGAAAAAGGCGATCCTAGCGGGGCTTCAGCTCCACTCCACAGGCAAAACTCAACTGGGGTCTGAGCCTTGGTCCTCTAACTCCATCTTCAGCTCAGAAGCACTACACTTCTGAAAAGGGGGAATAATAGCAAGACTGAGTACAACCACCGTACTCAGCAAGCCACACCAACGATGCAGACGTGCAAAGGGATACAAGGACGGTTTGTGGCTATTTGCATAAAGGCGGTTGTAAAACATTTTATTGAGAAAACGGTAAAACGGTTGAGTAATTAAAGTAACATTAAATCTCCACTGATCAACGCTACACCACGTTGAACAGGCCTAACCAACCCACCTGAACTACAGTGCATTGGGTCGATTTATTAGGTGTGAGACTAATCACGGTGAATCTGGTCGACCGCCCATAACCGCGGGCACGGCTATTCGAATAGTTTTACTCTGATCAGAGGTGTACAATTGTACCCACAAGACACAGCCCCACGACATGTTTCCGTGCGCCGACATGCCACCACGACATACCAGAAAGAGGCCGTGACAGGACCCTTCGCATAACCCCCTCTAGCCAAGCACACCACACCTCAGGTTTCACCCCCACTCCTCGCAAGGCAGCGGGCAGTCCCCCCTCATGCCTAGGTGAATCCGGAAGCCGCATAGGCCGTCGCAAGGCCCATCCAAACTCCATCACGCCCACCCTTGCCTGGATGCGTCAGCTAGAGGAAAGCTACACTACAAGCCCAGCCGTTGCCCACGCTGGCTTGTGGTAAGCACGATAAATTCTTCCAGGGTTTCCCGCGAACCGGTCCTTAATTGCCATGGGTGCGACTAGCAAAACCATGCACCCACAGCCCACCCTTCAGTCGCATTTTAGTTGGATAATTACGACCATGAAGCATGGCCAGATGTCTCGAGCACGCAGCTCATTCTGATACTAAAAAGGTCTAATACTGTAATTATCCCATCAACTGAGCTAGTGGTAATTAAGCATGGCTAAGCATACAGTTCTAGCTAGGTCACATAAGTAACATGAGCTAGTCGATTTATTACCCCCGGTTGACAAAGGACAGATATCAAGTAAACATGGCACAAGCGAGCAGATAGGTAATACCCGGATCCCATGTAATTAGCAAAACATGCATATTTATTTGCAAACGGTAAAACATTTATAAATTGGGATCAACATGCTCAAGGGGAATGTGTGACTTGCCTTGCTTCTTCAAAACAATCTTCCGAACTCTTTTCCTCGCGATCGCGGACTTCCGAAACGACGGATTCTACACGCTGGCACGCAAAACGAGGAAAAACTCTAATAAAAACCAAGGAAACAGTACATAAAAAGTAAACAAACATGTAGAGCTCAATTTTAGATGAATTTTGCAAGTTGAACGGCTCAATTCGGAGTTCAAATGAATTAGATATGAATTTTAGAAGTTTTGAGCCATTTAAATGAATTTCTAGAATTATTAACGAATTATTGTGCAATTGTTAATTATTTTATCAAAGGAAAAGGCTCCTGCTGGCGTCATCAAAGGGCAGCGGCGCTGACAGGGGGGCCCCACACGACAGCGGGCAAGGGAGTGGTCCACCGTGGACCGGGACCACGGGGTGGTCCACCGCTGGTCCACGGGAACCGACGGCCCAGATCAGCCCGAGCTGATCGGGCGGCCACGGGGTGGCGCGGCTGAGCACGGGCACTGCTCAGGCCCGCCCGGCCGAGCGACGGCTCACGGCGGCGCGGCCTCCTGCAGCGACAGCCGACGCACGCGGGAAAGTGGCGGCGCGGCGCGGCAAGGGGATCCGGGCGGCCTAGGCAAGCGGGGCGGCGACAAGTCGGCCGGCCGACCTAACGGCGGCGGCGCACGGCCCGGTGGTCGCCGGCGGCGGCCACCGGCGCGGCAGCACGCACGGGAGACAGAGGAGGGAGGCAAGGAGGGAGATGAGGAGCTCACCAAGGACGCGACGACGAGGGGCGGGGAAAGGCGGGGGAGCTCGGCGTCGGCGCTCCTCGGGACGAAGGCGGAACGGCGGCCCAGCGGCGTAGGGTGGAGGTGGCTTGGGATGCACGGTGAAAGGGTGGTTGCGGCGATTAAATGGGGAAACGGAGCGGAGGCCGGGGTGCGGCGAGGCACGGAGAAGCCGGCGGTGCAAACGGCGCGGCGCGGCAGTGGCTAGGGCGGCGGCTAGAGGTGGCCGGAGCTCGCCGGGGACCGATGGAGAGAGGGAGCACGGTGGAGAGGTGGTTCGCGTGGTGGAAGGGGAGGAAGAAACGGCGGCCGAGCGTGCCCTTGAGGTGGCAAAGCCAGCGGTGGCGGCGGAGCAGTGCGGCGGCGACCCTAGCGACGGGAAACGGCGGCCGGAGTTCGCCGGAGTGTGGCGGCGCGCGGGAGCGGCGTGGGGAGAGCGAGGGAGAGAGTGCCGGGCTCGGGAAACAAGGGGAAATGGACGAGGGGAGCACGGGGGTGCTTTTTATGGGCTCGGGAAGGCGGGATCGAGGCCGGACATGGCGGAATCGGCTGGCGAAGTGGGGCGCCGACGTGGGGTGGTCGAGGGGTTAACCGGCGCCAATTTTCGCGGGGAGAGTGGGGGGAAAGGTGGAGGAGGTGGAGGGGATCGATTTCACGCGCTCGTGGGGCGGGGTGGAGCGCGGGAGCCGCGGCGTCGTGGGGCGAAACCGGCGGCCATGGCGGCAGTTGGGGCGACAGGAGGTTGGGGAAGAAGATGACAGGTGGGGCCTCGGGTCCCACTTGTCGGGGAGAGAGAGAGAGAGGGGAAAACGGGCGAGGGAGGTAAAGCAGACTTGAGGGAGAGAGAGAGCCGAGCGGGCCGAGGGAAGAGGCCGGCCCGAGAGGGAGAGAAAAGGGGCGCGCGGGCCACGGGAGAGAAGGAAGACTTGGGCCGAAAATGGCCCAAAGAGAGGAAGGGGGATTTTAATTGTTTTTCTTTTTATTTAGTTGGTTAAAATGAACTTGGTACTTTTAAAATTATTTCTTGAGTTCCGAAAATTCACGGAAAATTCTAGAGAGTACATTAGGGCACAAAGAATATTACAGAATATTCCCGGCCAATGATTTTTAAAGAAAATTTTAATTTCCTCCATAATTCCACTTGATTAAATTGGTTTAACTTTTATTTAATTTCTAGAAAATGCATTATTAAATGATTTTTAATCCCGAACGAAAATCGGGGCGTTACAATTTACAGGTACTCCCTCCGTTTCACAATGTAAGTCATTCTAGCATTTCCCACATTCATATTGATGTTAATGAATCTAGACATAGTTATCTATCTAGATTCATTAACATCAATATGAATGTGAGAAATGTTAGAATGACTTACATTGTGAAACGGAGGAAGTAGTAAAGTAGTTGTCTGGATGTTTTGTGTTATTCCTTGAAGTATGCAACTGAAAGGGGATCCAATGTGTTCCACGTTATCATAATGCGCTACTTTGTTGATCATTGTAAACGGGAGATGCCTAGGTGTGATCATGGGTCGTTGAGAAACACTTCCTGTTGGAACGTAGAACATTACTTTCAGAACAACTCTATCGCCATATTGTTTATGCAAAGTAAATGCAAGAATGAAGGCATTACCAGGTCCAGTCGTATCAACGGACTGTAATACTGCATGGTTTGATCCTTGCTGCAGTGTCGAACTCTCATTTACATGGCATCTTCTTAAATCATTAGCGCTTACATTTGTAATATCACCATGTGGAGTTGCCCACATGCAACAATATTAAAAATTAGTTTGGTATAGTTGATAAAACTGGTTGTATCTACAAACATATTACAGCTGGACCTGAAAAGGATGAGGCCACAGGAGTAGGCATTTTCAACGTGATAGCATGGGATGCAACAACTCAAAATGTTTTAAAAAATAATACATGGATATTTTTTGGAGGCGGTGAGTCCTGACAGATCGGACAGCTAGGATCCTCCCACAAGATCGACGCTCCAAGCCGCCCCAACCATCCGCACTTGTAGTGCACCCCCTTGCCCACATCCGCGCCACCTCCTCTGCTACAACCATGCCACGCCCCCTCCCCCTCTCCCCATCCCTCTGGGACTGAATGACAAGGAGTAGAGAATAAAATTTTGTACATTTTGGTTTTTATGAGTTGGGATTTGGTTTCCATGATCTGAAATATTGTCCGTTCAGGTACGCACAATAGGCAAGGAGAGCCAACTAGATGATTCAACAATCCTACTGAAAGTGTTTCAAACCCATCAAAATATCAGCGGAATCTTGTTTCAAGCCTCTTTCAAATCTATGCATGAATATTTTACATGTATTAAACCTCCTGAGTACTACATATGCCCTTTACTGTATTTGCTTAAGATTTTATAGGTCATTATAGACCAGTTCTTTCATAACCCAAATAAAATTCCATCTCTGAAGCTACAGTTTTGTCATTGCTTTTTGTGCACCTAAAGAGACAATCACCTACAAATTTACATCAGGAGAAACAATTTCGGTACGCTTAAAATTTGCATGTAGGTGCCATTATAACAAACAAGTATTGACTACGAAATTTATATGTGAACAGGATCAAATGATCAGGTTACTTTCATTTAAGTGTACATACCGATAGTATATGTAGAAACCGCAAATTAATAACCAGATTATTTTTAGTTGTCAATAAATTTACGGCAATGTACCTGTATCATTAAATGGGACGCGGTGAGGTGTAACAGTCGATTGAACAGGGTCATTTTCTGCACGATGTAACGAACTGGATAAGATGGTGTTAATAGTGTTTTCATTTGCATGTAACAAGCATATAATTGTTATGTAGGAACCTATAACATAATTATTAGCAGTTTGATTTAAACCTAGATACTCCTCCTTCTTCTGTTGCTTGTACACACGGGTCTTCATTTTCCACACCTCCTTTTTCTTTGGGCTCATTGATGCGTACCTCTCTCTATAGCACGCTTCTTGATGAACCCTGAGTTCCACTCGACATCAAGGTTGTTGTTGGCCCGATCTTTCAGTGAGTTGATGATAAATACGATTTGGGAGAAACGTTGACGACCCGACTACAAACGTACTAGACGTTATGTTGCGCCTTAGCGATCGATACACCTCTTCGTGGGTTGTTAATCTTGCCGGTGCATATCAACCTTATTCCTGCAAGCAAATCGAAGAAACAAGCAAGAACAAAATAGAAAGCAACTGAATTATTAGATAGACAAGACGCACAAAGATGAATTGATACACGATAAAGTGAGGTTTCGAACAAGCAGATGGACGGTCTAGCCGACATGCGCGCTGCAAGCTAAGTAGCAATGGCTAAACTTACAATTAATCAAAACCCTAAGCAACCCTGAAGGGGTATCTGGCTACTTATAGGGGTGCGAGAACGACCAAGAGGATCCTAGGGTCGTGCTCTACCAGATTGGGGCGCACCCCACTGGGCCCCACTTGGGCCGGGGTCCCAAACGAAGTTACAAGCCCAAAGGCCCATGACAGGTGACGCAGCACCTTGTTTTTGTGATTGCGTCAAAACAAGATGGAATTCGGGGATGATGCTGGATCCGTTGGAAAGACGACTCCGAGAGCTTTCCATCAAGTACTCACGGGCCGAAAACGGAGGTCGTATGCAGATTTGGTGGCCGTTTGAAGTCAGCAGTGTAGCAGAATCGGATTCCAGCACTTGGAGGACTTGAACTTAATATCTTGTTGTTCATCTATGATGTGAGCAACGGTTGTATCCATAGTAGCCATGGTCACATCACTTCCTTCTTAATTCTAATGCGCTGAGATTAGCACCACCTTCTTGCAGATCTGTGCACACATGCAAATTATGTTAACTCTAATAGGTACAAAATGGAAATTCATAACTTGCATGTTTTACATTTCGTATTCATACTTTGCATATTTCCTTTTGCGGCAAATTGGAGGATGTGCATCTCTTACTGACATGGTTTATTTGTAAATCCCCCCGCGCTTGCATTAGTAATATCGGCAAACAGGGCTGAGGGAGGAAATCTTGCGAAATTAGTACGCAAGTGACATCTTGATGGACTGAATATAACTGACAAAAAAAACTCTTGATGTTGTTAAAGATAAGAGGGGGGAGACCCAATACTGTTACGTTCTTTTTTTATCCCCGGCACTTGTATTAGTAATATCAGCAAAAGGGCCTGATGGAGGAAATCTTGTGAATTCAACATGCAAAACACACCTTAATGGACTAAATAATATGCACATAAATAAACCGATAAAAAAAACTCACGTGATCTTGTTAACGATGCTGGTGTGGAGCCCCCAATATTGTTATCCATATCTTAATGTGTGCAAGCCAGCTGAACAATCCTCACAACATGCTTCACATAGAGTAACAAATGGTTAGCTACATTTGAAGGGATTTGCCACACTGAATTCCAAATCAATGCATCCCATGTAGTATTCGAAGTTAGTTAAAAATCAGGCATCCGTTCACATGTAACAATAGTCACCAACTTCTAAAATCATTTTCAACTTTACGAAATAACTTTGCCCCGGATGAACAAAAGGATAAAAAAATCAAGCTAGTCAACAATGCACTGGTTGTAATTAGACAACTCTTAATCAGCCACCTCATCTTCGCTGAACTTACAACTATGATAAAGAGCCTCCAGAAGTAGTATCAGCAAAAGGTCCAATAAGCATGTTAACCAAAAAATTATATATATATATATATATATATATATATATATATATATATATATATATATATATATATATATATATATATCACAACTTACTTCTTCAGAACTTAACTGCAAGGAAAACAGATGCTCGAACACCTGCATTTTTAGAAGTTTCCCATGGCAATGATCATTGATCAATAAACCATTAATTTTTGTTCTTTTTTTTTAAGATAATGGAAGCTTTATTTAGACTCAGTTTGATTGTATCGTCTTGATGTAATTAAGTTTTGTTCTGAACGACAATATTCATTGATCTATATTTATAACCTATTAATCATGTTGACAGAGGGGACGGATCAGTGAATATAAGTTATGCTGAGCTCAACAGCATGGTGTACAGGCAAATTAATATAGGCAATAATTCACATTAGCATCAGTGAACAGCAATCTGAAAAATTGACATGTCTCAGAGGTAGCAACACGTACTGAGCATGCATTTTAATTCTAACATTGTAATAGCAATATATACCATCCTTCCGTACCAGAAAATTTCTGATGTTGAAGTAGTATCACTGTTCATCTGCCATCACTATAGTGGATTTGGTCAAAATCAAACACTATGCTGCAAGTGTTCAGTAATCAAAATTTCAGTTAAATCAGTGAGTAACACGAAGAATTGTGTTCCACATCCCTAACATAGCTGAATAAACACAGAGATGAGAGATGAATAAACACCGTATAATACCAAATATTCAGTAAACACAGAGATGAGAGATGGGGTCAATTGCGGTGGTTGGTGGAACCGGCGGCCGTCGATCTCCGACGGGCAGGGGGCGACGTCCGGATGGCCGATGAGGTTGGAAGGACATGGCGAGGGGAGGGATGAGGGCGGATGGCCGGAGAGGTTGGAAGGAGATGGTGATGGGACGGATGAGAGCGCGTGGCGCTTAGGGGAATCGTCGGGCGGCGAGGTTGGATGGTGAGGGAAGGGATGGGGTGGCAGTTAGACGATACACGGAGGGGCGGCACGGAGGAGATCGTCATCGGTGGCGGCGTGGATCGGCGCGATGGGCGGAGGCGCGCGAGCAGCGGGGGGCGGCGATGGAAGCGGGGAGAGCGGCGCTTAGGGGAATCGTCAGGTGGCGAGGTTGGATGGTGAGGGGAGGAATGGGGGCGGCAGTTAGGGGTTGCACGGAGGGGCGGCGCGGAGGAGATCGTCGTCGGTGGCGGCGTGGATCGGTGTGAGTCACCGTGTGACGGGCGAAGCACGCGAGTAGCGGGCGGGGGCGGCGGCGATGGAAGCGGGGAGAACGGTTGGGAAGAGAGGCGCGATGGAGGAAGCTGAAAGGGGAGAGGGCACACGCGGAAAGGGGAGAAGACGCGCGTGGGAAGGATTGCGGAGAAATTGGGTGTCTAACGTCTCAAGCGTTGATTTTGCGAGAGGATCCTACGAGCAATCTTAACCCTTTCACCACCACCACCACTAGAGAATTTTAAGGTATTTCTCCCGTTTCATATTATAAGACTTTCTAGCATTACTTATATTCATATATATGAAACAGAGGGAGTAGTAGAGATATGAACTGGGCAATACAAGAAAGTCTTAAAATATGAAACGGAGAGAGTAGTAGAGATACAAACTGGGCTCTTTGTATTAATTGTTTGGCTATGGTTGCAAAAAAGCTAACAACGCTTGTGCCCAGCCCGGCACGGCCCAGGCACAGCCGTGCCTTGGCCGAGGTCAGTCGGGTCGTGCCGGCCCGACATACACGTCGGGCTGTGTCGTGCCTACCCACGGGCTGCACACACGGCCCGGGCACAACCCAATAAGACTCGGGCAGTGCCGGGCCGGCCCGAAGGCACGACAGCCCATCGTGTTTCTCAACAGAATAAGTCCAGTTTTCCTCCCTTATCTCTTTGGGTTGTGTCTATATGGCTGGAAAATAAATCTATTTTGTATTCCTCTTCTCTTTGGGCGTTGCCTTATATGGTTGATAAGTCTATTTTGGGTCCCTCTATTATTCTTCCACCGTGCTGGGCCGTACCGGCCCACCGTGCCAAGGGAGCAGCCCAGGCACGGCACGGCTGTCGGGTCAGGCCGGCACGAGCCCGACCCTAGTCAGGCCGTGCCATGCTTGGGCCAGGCTAAATTGCTGTGCCTTGGGTCGGGCCGTCGGGCCTCGGGCCATATGGTCATGTATATTGGTAAGGGCTGCCTCTTAAAGTACCACGTACGCTTATGCTCTTTTCATTCAAAGCGGAATTCAGTGGCATATCTCGAAGGAAAAAAGAATACCCGTACAAGAAAAAAATCGTACAAACATTATGCAAAGACTCGTAAACATTTTGCAAACGCTTATATGGCATATTATGATTGAATCTTATTTTTTTCATAACCATCAACTAGTTACATCAAACGTTTGAGATCTTGATTTGTTTTTAAAAGTTTGATAAGAATTTTCTTGCATGTATATTGAAAAGTTAGGATATGTGTATTTTGCTTTTTCAAATGATATATCCGAATAGAGATCGGTGTTTTATCCGTCATAAGTGGCATTTCTACTACTACCATACTACGTATTATATTCTTTCAATGTGCATATACTATAGTGAAGTTTCATATATACGCAAATAAAAGCAGAACATAAATACCAGTTTAAATTTTAGACCGTCAGAATGCGTTGAGATTTGTGGCCGGCGAAATCGGAGCGCTCCATTTCGCGGGGTGCTCGCTGTATCGCAACTCCCAAGTGCGCAAGAAATCGGAGTCGGAAACTCGGAATTAATCCATCTCCGCGTCGGATTCGAACTTTGAATTCTTCCCGCGGATAAATAGACCAGCACGCGGCAGCAGCATCAGCTCGATCGCTTCATGCTCGTTTGCTTGCGCGCGAGCGAGTGAGCGACGGCCGATCGACGATGGCGGCGAAGACGTCGACGACGACGACGACGCTGCTGCGGCTGCGGAGCTCCGAGGGGAAGGTGCTCGTCGCGCCAGCATGGGACGGCCGCCCGAGCGCCACCGCCGCCGCCGCCGCCGCGCCGCCGCTGGAGACCAGGGTGCCGCTGCGCGCCCTCGAGAAGGCCGTGCTGTTCTGGGTTGGGCGCGCGCTGGCGGAGGCGATCGGCGGCAAGTCCGGCGACGGCGACTGGGAGGCCCAGTTCCTGCGGTGCCTCCAGCAGGACGGGCTCGCCGCGGAGGACGTCGCCGCCGCCGTCGAGAAGCTCCGCGGCATTGACGCGCTCGCCGGGGTGGTGCCTGACTTCACGCTGGCTGCTGCAGCTGCTGCCCACCGCCACCCGTCGTCGTCTGCGGCGCCGGAGACAAGCGCCAGCTGCCACTCCCACTCCAACTCCCGCGCCGACGCCTCGCCGGATCGCGCAGCCGCGTCGCGCGCCCGTGGACGCCAGAGGAGGGAAGAAGAGGAGGAGGAGGCGGCTGATCGCGGCCACCGCAAGACTCGCCAGGCTGGCGCCGCCGCCAGCGACGACGGCGTGCAGTCGTCAGGGACCAGCGCGGCCGCTGCGGCGGCGACGACCGGGGCTTCGCTGCGCGGTCGGAGGGGATTGCCGGAGCTGCACGCGCTGCAAGTGAATAATTCGGAGACCCAGACCCTGCTAGCTTGGGAGCTACTGCTTGTGTAGAACTATTTTTGATTCAGTCCAGTTCACTGACTAAATATAGCCGTATTTGGTAGTAATAATTAATTACTTTGGTATGTAATTTCCCCGGAGCAACGTGGGCAAAAAGCACTGGTGAATTTGTGCATCCTTAAATTAGTTTAACCCTTGGGTTTGTAGCCTCAGCTGATGGCATCTAGATGATCTTAAGGTGGCTAGAAACCCTATGTAACATGGTGCTGATCATCGCATTGTACACTCTCTCTCTGTACTAGCAAAATGCCCAAATTTTGCTATGAGAAAAAGAAAAAATATATCATAGCAAAATATATTTTTTATCAAACATCTTGGTAATCACTTGTTTGCTTATTTGATTATCTATTATTCACTTGTTTGAACTAAATGATGGACTGTTCCATAATAATGGAAAAAAATGCTATATAAACAATTTTGCCTTTGTAAAAACTGCAAAAACAATAGTGAGATGGTTCTTTTAAAGGAGTATAGATAAGATGCTATCTACTTAGACATGGCATTTTCACCATCTGTATATCATTCAAAAAATTAGTGTAAATATGTGTCTGTTTAGGAGACATTCTTTGCGAGAGAGCTGCGGCTGCAGCAGCCAAAAGCATAATATACTTGAATATACTTTTTTACTGGCTTGTGACTGTAGCTCGACCATGGTTTGAAATTTTGGTTCAAAATTTCTGAAATTTCGATCCCCACCGGCAAAGCACAAATCTCCCCGAATTTTTTTGGTTTTTGTCAAATATTTGTAATTTTGGTCAAAATTTGTTCAAATCCAGTTACAATATGTTAAAAATTCAAAAAACTTTGGCTAAAAAGTTCTGAAATTACCGAAAATTTTGGTGATTTCAATTCTTTCAGTCCCCACAAGCAAAAAACCATGTTTCGAAATTCAAAACCCTGAGCCCGACACATGTAGCCATAGAGCTAAACATGGACTATGGTTATGCTTGAAGACCTTTTATTGTTTCGTTGATAAACAGAATAAACAATACTTATTATATGGTTTTTACATATTTTACATATTCTTTTAATAAGATAAATGGTTAAACATTATGTCATTAAAAGTTAATAATGTCATGCATTTAAAAAATGATGAATATAGTACTTTTGTAGATAATTTCCTCATTGCTTGATGAAAAAAGGGGAAAATCCTCAGGTTATGCTGATGCTAGGTTACAATATATAGGGATTGTTCATTTTGTTGTTAATTTCAACCTCACCAAATTTTAGCAATATCAAATTTTGGGATTGTTGAATGTATTTTGTTTGATATCTTTCCAAAATTTGGTAGCATTTTTATGAGAGAAAAGTTCCAGAACTACAAAAATTTGGTAACACCAAAAATGAGTAAATTTCAGAAAACTACAACTTTAGTGATAAAATTATCAGTTTGCTGCAACATTAGTGACATGTTTCAGTTTGCTGCAACAATAGCGTGGGAAATTATCACAAAACTGTAGCAACATATAACGTAAAAGTTGCAGTGTTGTGATAATTTCCCACGCTATTGTTGTAGCAAACTGAAACATGTCGCTAATGTTGCAGCAAACTGATAATTTTGTCATTAAAGTTGCAATTTTCTAAAATTTACTCCACCAAAAATTGATAGAGTTGAAAGTAACGATAAAGTGAACGGATTCATAGTAATTTTGATTCATCCTACTATCTACCACCTCTAAAATCATCCCAATTTCATGTGTTTTCTTTCCCTAGATCCTAAAAGATGTAATTTCATTTCTAATAATACTTTTATAAAATTTTTGTCACACAACTTTTAATTCTACCTTGGACTTTGCTGTCTTTGGGCCACACAAAGCTCGGTCTTGGCCTTTCAAAGCTAGGCTTATTCAATTATAAGCTGATTTACAAAAACATATCCAACATTTGCAATATATTTTCAGTTACCTCGAAGATTGGAACTAGGGATGATACTGACGGATATTGTTATTACTTATTTTGGTTCTGAAGTGCACAACTATCTGTGTTATTATTAATTAATAAAAAATAGAAATGTCCACTTATTATTTTAGAAAAATAATGAGCTATATCTCTTCATTGATTTGAGAAGCTCAGTTTGAGTTGTTTAATTTTCATATCTCAACAACAATAAATACTTGTTACCGTATTTACTCCGATCTATATTCGCTCAATTTTTTATTTGATTCCATTTTCGTATCTAGGCTTTTCGATTAAAAAAAAAGAAAACAGAAACGGTAAAGCTGGTTTTCGTTTGTTTACGAGCCATTTTCATTCCTATCTGGAACGCATGCATATTACACTTATCTAGTTACCTGGCTCCAAGCGAGCTCTCTTAAGGTAAGAGAAATGTTAGTCACAATTGTTTGACTTGGCTAATCACATTCACATATGTAAAATATATATATATATATATATATATATATATATATCAGAATTTAAACATTAAAGCTACGCGCTGCAAATCTAGCACCAAATTGTACTGCATATTTTTAAAGATAGTTTTAAATAAATTTTCTGGTCATCTTTTTTAGCATTTTTTAAAAAGACGAAAACCTGAAAGATAATTGTAAACCACAAATCTAGAATTCAAAGCCGGTTTCTGGTTATAATCAACAACTCGGTTAAACATGCAATAGCTTCCCCGCTTCTGCCCTCCTAAGTTCCGTCATCACCGTTATCATGATCAAGAGATGACAGCATTAAGCCACACCAAACAATCAAACATACCATAAACCAACACACATATCCAACAACCAACCAAATCACTCCATTATCAC